CCCGTTCAACAGGCACATAGCATAACCATTTAACACTTTATTGGGGCACCACAAAACGGTGACGTGGTTACCCAAAATAAGAGATGGGTGTGATATTGATGATTGGGTAGCTAAAAGTAATCTGTAAAACACTGATATACTTATTTCCTAGCACTTTTGGCGAGTCAATTGGCGACCCGGTAGCCGATGGACAAACACACAATGTGAGCGTGCAATAGAATTGTATGAAACGTAGTTACGCCGTCGACAAGAAAGAATGTTCTGGCAAGATAAGACACCATAGACGTGTTACAAAGGTTAGTTGCGTATCCTTTACAGGACGTTGCAGAACCAACCCCAACAGCCCCTGGATGTTGTGTGGTTTTTTTAGGCAAATTTACGTCCAGTAATTTGCCATGCGTCCTGGACGGTCGACTTTCTTGATACCACTGTCGAAACCAAAGCAAGGGGCATGGCCCGCCGCTGGGATCGAACCCGGCATTACGAAGCGTTTGCATTGACTTAGCCCCAGGGCCGACAGACGTGATACTACAACAGGCAATACAGAGTAGATTACTGAGTCACATCCAGGGCAGATATGCTACATCGTTTGTATAAAGGCAAACATCTTCTTGCTAAACGATTCCCTCAGGTAAACTTGCACGGAAATAAGAAAGAGAGAGCGTCACATGAGGGTAGTCATCATCTAAGGGGTTGACTGGAAGTTGTTTACATGAGAGCACACGGGTGAAGAAAGGCATCTGTTGAAGATTCATTTTAGTACGGTGTGGCCTGATCATAATAATGAAACGGATGATAATGATTGTTTTTAATTTTACTATTATTATTCCCAAAACGATGGTAATGAGATGATGTCGATAATGTTGATGTCTATCACACACGGTATAGTCCTTTCAAGTACAGGCAGCTGTCGTTAAAGCCGCACTCGTTCGTTTGTAGACATCATAAACGTATGCAAATTCTTCCTTATTGTTTTCATGTAGACGAGACTCAAACTATAGATGGTATTGTTACGTGACTTCTGTTGAAACGACTTGCCGGGTCGAAAATGTTATATCCGTGGATGTATATCTATTTATGTTACAATATTTTATACCAACAAGACATTAACTCCATTAATACCAAGATACTATCTTGGCCGTACACAGCCGAATACGCCGGTGTTAGAGGACATGAAAGAGTCGACGATGTGGCCGTGTCTTCAGTGGCTGTTGGAGAAAAATAAATGTGGACAAGGCAGACATCTGAATGCTCTTCGTTCCAGAGACTTTGACACGAAGAAACCAGGGTTATTAAACTGATTGATGGAATGTTTCTTAAAAGAAGGACAAGCATGCAGAAACCGGTTTCAGGGTACAGAGAGAAGATACGCCAGTCAACTCCTATTGGGTACGCTGGGCATGGAGACACTGAGATATATGTTGCACCGGAGGACGGAACACAATGGGTCGGACCGAGGCGCTAGGATGTCGATAAGAACAACAAGTAGCAAGTAAAGAAAATAACAATCTTTTTTTTTTTTTTTAAATACACTGAAAAAATCCAGAAACACACAGTATGAGTATTCTTACTGTATACATCGCAAACATTTACCAACTTGTTCAATCCCATACTTACGTTACATAATGTATTCTATTCAATCTGTTACTTAAACTCGTTGTGTGTAATACGTAGGGTTGCCATGCGCTTTCAGTGTTGCAGACACGTCCTCTTTTTTCTGTTTCTTCCTCTTCTTCACGTTCACAAGCTATAAAATCCGGCAAAATGTTTTGGTTGTTCGTCCACTTCTGAACTCTAGTCCTGTTCCAAAACCTGAGCGTTACGTGCACATTTGTTTTACAGGTCTGACTCATTTGTAAGCAAACTGTTGGTTTCTTGCCTCTCAGGCAGATGCAGTTCAACTTCAAAGGAAACGCGGACACATTCTCATTTTACGAGCTAATCTAAACGTCTGCAGTTTTTGACACTCGTAGATTTGTCCGCGATTTTACAAGCCAGTGCAACAATTACCTCTGTGCGACTATGCTGACAGCTGTAGGAATACTATGAAATTCTGAAGATAGCACAGCTCTTCTTTGCTATTTTGGCAAACAATTCTTCGGTATAAAAACTGTTTTCTGTAATCTATAGACAATGGCCTATTGAGAGAATACGTTTCAGTGTGAATTCAGTCAAGTCAATTTTACTTGTAAAATTTAATTTCAAACATTTCACATCTAGGCAATTGTTAATGAACATCTGGTGCAGAAAAAGACATTCCACAATAATCAGTATGTACATGGAACGTAATTTAAAAAAAATTTCATGTCAGGCAAAGTGTCTTCATTTCGGAAGATCAAAACATGGAGGTGTCCTCATTTCAGAAGATCAAAATATGGAGGTGTCCTCATTTCGGAAGATCCAAACATGGAGGTGTCCTCATTTCGGAACATCAAAACATGGAGGTGTCCTCATTTCGGAAGATCAAAACATGTAGGTGTCCTCATTTCGGAAGATCAAAACATGGAGGTGTCTTCATTTCGGAAGATCAAAATATTCAAGTTTCCCAATTTCTGATGATCAACATATGAAAGTGTCGTTATTTCGGAAGATTAGAATATTAAAGTGTCCTCATTTCGGATGTGAAAAATAGGGCAACCCTAGTATTAACTAAATACTTTTCAATCATGGAAACTAACACTTTACATCCCCAAAGTTCATACACTTTTGGTTAACTGGTTTAGGTTCACAGACTTCAAAATTACAAGGCACTGAAAGAGTTAATGTGTTACCAGTAAACATTACAGCCAATATAAGTCAGCTATCAACTCATCTTTCAGAAACTGATATTCTGCCGAAGACAACCCAGCATAGGTAAGATGTACTATTCTGCTGTATTGTCTGAAGAATTGTCGTGTGATAAAGTTGAGGTTACCTATGTCATCAATACTTTTTGTCATGCTTTTTGTTTATACTTTGCGCCACTTCAGGTGCCTTTGACATCATTCCCAGGGGGCTGGGTGTTCTTGAGGCATGGTGTCTGCCTCGAGTGCTAGAGTTTCCTGGTTCAATCTCTGGTTAGGGCTGGGGGCTTTTCCCGTGAACTCGGACTTTTAGTAATTCCCCCTGGTGAGATCGGACGCCCGTGTGTATTGTTGCGCCCGTGTGTATTGTTCATGGGTATGAATGAAGGAATTGTGAATCCTAGTTATGTTTCGAGAGGAGATATGAATGTTTTCTACATGTCCTTATACCAAGTACAAGGTTTTGCCAGAGGATGGATGTGCGATTCGAAAGACGCTGATGGATCAAAGTAGTGTGTGAGAAGATTGACCAGGTCCTCAGAATCAGCCTAGCAGAACGAACACAAGGACTGGAGAATGTGTGCCTACGATATGTTGTGATTCAGCGAATAAAAGCATGTAACTGAATATTCGTCTCTGCTGTGTCGTAACAACTTACTGTTCGTCAGAAAGCAATGTGGCTTACCAAAACATACCCCTAGCAAAGCACATTACAAGTTGGATGCTCGTCCGGGATAAAAAGACAGATATCGTTGTCTTTACAGTGTTAATCATAACAACTATAGTTAGAAAGTGACAATAACATTTTTCACTCAGTGACTGATATACCTGTCGCTGGGTAATGTGACATAAAATTGGTCAACAGAAACATTGATCGGTTGAGTGTTTAGAACAGTGGTTGCTAAAGACAACAGCTACAAATTACAGTGATCGCTGAGCATGCTAATAGAGCGCAAGCGTGTTAAAATAATGCAGCAAGCTGAATGACATTGGTCAGATCTACACCTAATATTGTGTCCACGTATCTGAGGTAGCGTGTAGCCAGCAGAATAGTGTAATATGAACATATGTAACACAGAGTGAGTGACTGTCCACAACTATACGTGCAGCAAAACTGATAATAGGACGAAAGTGCGTAGAATTCATACAGTTCTTTAGAATAAACGAATAGACTGTTTCCAGAAATTATTCAGAGTCACATCCGTGTTTGACACATAGACGAGTTCCGCAAATTTTTCAAAATGACACCGGTATTTAGAGTACATTGCATGGCGCCTGCGTGAACTTAGTTCAATAGCCCTATGCTATTTTTTAGTTCTGGCTTAAATTCTTTTTTTTTTTTTAAAGTTTAAAAGTCGAGAGGATCGAATTCATTGCACCGGCTTTTATCCTATATGGCTCGGTCTCTCTCTCTGCAGAACGGCTAGCCACCTGCCGAGAGCTTAGTGCACACGAACTTTATAGCTCTGGCGACGACCCCAACAGATTTACCTGCACTCGTGAGCTGAAGTTCGCAGACGTGGAACGAACACACGACCTTCAGAGCGCGAGGCAAACGGCTTGAGCACTTACACTGCGTGCAACGATGGTATGTGTTCAAATATTAAAACCAAAAGTGTGTGTCTCAGAGCAAACTAAAGGTGTCAAAACTATTTTTGACATCCACACACACACACACACACACACACAATGTGGGGAGCAATCCAGGCTGTAAAATAATTGCCCCTCACGGTGTAAGACTGAACATTAAAATGCCTCCCGGGTGACGCTTCAGAGCATAGCATCATTTTGTAAACAAGAGGGGTGGAACTAATGCCACGCCCTCTAACAGACATGTTGTGAAAGACATATAATCAGGGTTTTTCTTAGAAGCCGAAACGAAACCGCTCAAGAGGCGAGGAACCAACAGGGCAAGGAAATCAGCCAGAACTGTCAAACGGATGTGCAAAGCAAGGGTCTGAAACAAGATCAAACTCCAGCACAAAGTGTCTGTCCGAGTGTACAGTTTGGTGAACGTATTGAAAGGTAAGATGATAAAGTCAAGCACAGTGCTTTAATCGCGCTTACTTCAAAATTGTTACAATAGTCACTTGTGGTAAACTGTGTGTTAACCTGTGAGGAAATGTTCATTTATACGTCTGTGCTAAGCAATAAACTGCTACCATTCTGTTGTAATTTCCGAAAGTCGAATTCTACTTCTTCAACAGAAAGTCGACCATGTCGAAAGTCACTGCTGACCTAGTTATCCTCTTCATATGTTGGACGTCGCTCCACCTGGTGGCCGCCAAGGGTAAGAAAGCACTTTGCTGAGTGTCTGCATTGTAACCACGAACTGTTCTCTGGGTGTAATGGTTAGGTATCGCGTACTCAGCTTTTTTTTTTTTTTTTTTTCAACTTTATTGTTTAAAAATGAAACCAAATAATCGAATGAATCAGATTTCATCAAAGCACAGTGAAATAACAGAAACCGTATAGCTGCATCTTTTTTCTAGAAAACATAGGTGTTCTGATTATGTCTGTTTCAGTTGAGAGAGAGAGAGAGAGAGAGAGAGAGAGAGAGAGAGAGAGAGAGAGAGAGAGAGAGAGAGAGAGAGAGAGAGAGAGAGAGAGAGAGAGAGATTGAGAAAAAGAGGGAATTTACTTGTCTTTCAAAGTGTTACAGATAAGGCACCCGTCTTACATTCGGCCCTTCCAACCACGAACTCTCCTTTTACACTGCAGCTGTATTTTTTCTGTGACCCAAGAATGTTTTGTATATATAACAATATACATAAAAAGAAAATTATTTAAGAACACAATAGAGATAGACACACACACACACACACACACACACAGAGAGAGAGAGAGAGAGAGAGAGAGAGAGAGAGAGAGAGAGAGAGATAGAGAGAGAGTAAGAAAGAGATGGCTTTTAGCTACAGATCTCTTCTGCTTTAGCAGAATCTGGTGTTTCTCTTGCCAAATGGCTGTGTGACATATAGTTCTGTACCTCAAAGGTTACTGTGACTGCGACGATTCTGTGTGTAGTAATATTGGCTCACTAGGGAACTCATACGAGTTTCCACCATTGACAGCACTGAAACGCCTACATCTTCCAATACAACTGTCTTCTTCCACTTCTGGTACCTAACTGACCCCGATCCAACCTTGGGCTTTGCCTCGTTCATATCTCCAGTCTGTGCGTCTTCTTTGGTACGGGTATCGGTTCGGCTTGGGATAAGCGTGGACCACCATTACATCAAACATCTCATCACATCCTCTCCTCTTCTTAACAAAATGACATTTTATGGAACATCAAGTGTTATTTTCAATTAAACGAACATAACACACCTCAGGGAGATTGCATATAAATACATAACTGGTGATTATGATTCATGATTCCCCTTAATCATCCCTCTTTCACTTTACGTGTTTAATAAATACTTTTAAGGTACTGAGTTTGCCTGAGTTTTTCTCATCTTTGCACATATTGCGTCTGTAGTATTGTCAAGTCACCTTATATAATATATCAGGTTCGAAGCGAAATGATGAATATAGTGATGATGATACTGAGGTTCAGCTTTGAGATTTATTCTATCAGTTGGATTTGGAGGACTGTCAACATGCCGAATTGTAACCCTGCGTCATGCCCCGAGTTACTGCCCCATCACGACAAAAAGGCGCTAAGATGGCGGGAACTCTAACTATGAGAGGAGTTGGTCTAAGATGCTCCTCCACTCTACCTCGGGCGTTGACTCAGGTGCCAGCTCCCACATGCTGTAAACATATTTTTATGTTTGAAAATTCAGAGAATCACCAGACATGCACTTAAATGAGATATTGACGGATTTCGGAAACGAGGGCGTCTAATAGAATTTTAAAGACGGAAGGCTCATAGTGTGCTCGGTCCTCCGTGAAGATTATACTACACATACGGCAGCGGTGGAGACCAAGATGATATTAACACTTTCTTTCAATGTCCTGGGCTAAGCCGGCCGGTAAAACTTAGTGCATTATTTTGGGTGCGGTTTGATATAAACGCAGAAGGTCATTATTCGTCATCCTACACCATCACCAGAATCACGTGTCCAGCGAGTAGTCTAGATCCACCTCTTACATATATCCCAATCACTGCAGCTGTGAGGTGGTTAGCAGCAGACATAACTACCAGAGCAACTATTGTGTCTGATTCTCAGCCGGTACTGCGGCACGTCTGAAATGGATAAATATGGCATGAATGGATACCAAGCATTAGCACGTCAACATTACAGGGACAAAAGTGGATACAGTGTCCCGGATACCCAGGAGTGCGAGGAAATGAAAGAGCGGATTTTCCTGCTACCAAAGCGACAGCTACTGAAATATTCACACTGGACAAGGCGGACATTCTCAAGACCATTTAAGAACAAATGCTCACAGACTACATAAGCTGCGCATGTCACTGCGATTCTCGTTCTTTATATATCTATATATATATATGGGAGTCGCCGTGGCCGAGCGGCTAGACGCGCGGTGCGGATCAGAAGGTCGTGGGTTCGCTCCCTGGCGGAGCCGGACTTTTCTTCAAAAAATGACCTTGGCTCCCAGGTCGACCCAGCCTTGAGTGGGTACCGGGTGCAGTCCCGGGAAGTAATGGCGGCTATGTGATGCTGACCACATCACCCATTTTGTGCCGTTGGTCTATAAAAATATAGGTCTAGCCCTATATGCCCTATACGCCTAAAGGCGTGGAAAGGGTCCTTTACTTTTTTTTACTTACTGATATATATATATATATATATATATATATATATATATATATATATATATATATATATATATATATATATAAAAAGAAAGAGAATCGCAGTGACATATATTTATATCTGACTCATTTCCAGAATTTTCTCAGTTTACTTTGGACTTTTTGGAGATTGTTACTGGTGATTTTGACAACCGGCAACAGATTGAAAGCGGAGGCACAGACCACGCGTTCATTCAGTTTAGGATAGTTCCTGCAAATATGCCCCTACTGCAGCCGGTACGTTCATGTCTTAACAAGCATTAAATATGTGTGTGTGTGTGTGCGTGTGTGTGTGTGCGTATATATATATATATACCTCATACGTACTATAGAACATTTCTATGCCAAGGCTAGCAGTGCTGTCACGCTGAACGGACAAATAGGAAGCTGGTACCAAACAACAGTAGGAGTCCGACAGGGCTGCATCCTCTCTCCAACACTGTTCAACATATTTTTTGGAAAGAATTATGACTGATGCCCTAGAACAACATCATGGAACAGTTAGTATCGGAATTCAAACTATAACAAACTGAAGGGTTGCAGATGACATCGATGGGATGGCCGAAGAAGAACAAGAACTAGTCAAGCTTGTAAATCTACTCAATGAAACATCAACCAAGTATGACATGGAAATATACGCAGAAAAAAAAAGTAATGACTAAAAATCCAGCTGGCAGAATTTCACCAATCTACGTTAAAGGTCACAAATTAGAACAAGTGACTCAATTCAAATATTTAGGATCCATTTTGAGTAACTTGGGGTCAAGACCACAAATAATTTCTATGATTGCCCAGATAACATCAGTCCTTAACAAGCAGCAAACATTCTGGAGATTCATGAACATTTCATGCAAAACTAAGATTCGATTGCTCAGAGTACAATACAATAGTTTTTAGTACATTTACATATGGCTGTGAAAGGTAGACCTTAACAGCTGAACTTGAAAGAAAAATTTAAGCATTAGAAATGCGATGTTTCAGAAACATTCTTGGCATATCCTACAGAGACCACATTACAAACGAAATAGTTTGCCATAAAATTATACAGCACTTTGGCAACTATGAACCTCTTTTAACTACAGTAAAAAGTCGAAAAATAAAATGGTATAGACATGTAATAAGATCTAACGGCCTCTCAAAAACAATACTGCAGGGCTCAGTAGAGGGAAAGAGGAGAAGTGGCAGACCAAGAAAGACCTGGTTACAGAACCTGACTGACTGGACAGGCCTCAGGCATGCAACCATGAAGTCCATCGCAACTGACCGCCAAAAGTTTAGAGAGCTGATCAGTCAACAGACACTGTTGACCAAACAGCACGCAGTGTTACTTGATGATATATTTCATAATGGTAATATAAACAGCAATTTTGTCAGAACTGAATTTAATAAAGGTATAAGTGCTGATCGCTCAGGCCGCAGTGGAAAAGTGCTGAACGCAAAAAACGCTTAGTAAAACCATAAACAGCCAAAAATGATAGCGCTGCTTTGAAGCCTTTGGTAAAGAAATATAACTAATTTATATGCTGGATTAAATGTCCATATTTATGTGTTTGCTTAGTTATCTCTCTCTCTCAATATATATATGTGTGTGTGTGTGTATATATAAATACACAAATGAAATAAAAAATATTCATGTGTACTAATATATTTTAGAAACGCAAATACAATTAGGTCATATCCTAGAGTGTGTAAATAATATTCCGTTGTTGTCGATGAAGTAGTTTATTATTATATCAAAAGGTAATGCATGAAAAAAAAATGGAGAGGAAGCTCGTTCGTTGATGTACGTTTCTGTTTGAATAGTCAGTACGGGCCGAAGTGACACTAATAGAGTATCCGACAGGTGTTGCTAAACTACGTTTTTTTTTCAAACATGAATAGACCATAGCTGATTAGGTTAATGTTTATTCCGGGGCCCTACTGTAGGAAAAGCATGTCGTAATAGTCGACTGGGAGCTTTCTCTGAAGTCAGAGTGCATCTGCCTGAGGGGCAAGAAACTAGAAATATGTATACAAATGAGTCACATCTGTAAAACTAATGCACAGGCAACACTTAGGCTCAACACACCTGTAGTCTAGAAGTGGACGAACAACTAGAACTTTTCGCCAGAGTATACAGCTGGTGAAAGCAAAGAAGAAGAAGAAGAAGAAAAAGAAGAAGAAGAAGAAGAAGAAGAAGAAGAAGAAGAAGAAGAAGAAGAAGAAGAAGAAGAAGAAGAAGAAGAAGAAGAAGAAGAAGAAGAAGAAGAAGAAGAAGAAGAAGAAGAAGAAGAAGAAGAAGAAGAAGAAGAAGAAGAAGAAGAAGAAGAAGAAGAAGAAGAAGACGAAGAAAAAGAAGAAAAAGAAGAAGAAGAAGAAAGTCATGTTTAGATCCTCTTTTCCTTCACGTTCTCATTCACTGCTTCAGGTATCGATGGAGATTTGAGGTTCGGCTTCTTGCTCTTCTAGCCATCTCGACCATAGACACATCGGGCAAGATGTACTCTACACTGTAGAGTTTCTCTGATGTTATCTTTCCATCTTCTTCTTGGTATACCTCGTGATCTTCGCCCTTCTCTTCTTTCGATGAATGTGGTATATGGTATAGCGTCACAAGGTATTCTTTCTAGTTGGGTGAGCAAAGCATGTGATTTGCTGTCTTTGTGTGATATTTAGAATTGGTTCTGTGCTGACATGTTTTCTCTAGTGACCTCATTCCTTCTGGTCACTACTGGAGCCCTTGTCCATAATCCCATTTGCATCGTTACTAATTTTCTGTTGAAATTTAGAAATTGATTAGATAACGGGAGCAAACATTAATTTACATGTTGATGAAAACTAGGAGGTAAAAGTTTAAAATTATAACCATATTAGGTATATTTGATGGCGAATTCCCTTTAAGGAGTTAAAAAAATTACAGTAAAATAAAGATCCTTTTTCACTCCTTTAGGCGCATTGGGCATATGGGAAGAGCACCCATATTTTTACACACCAATCGGCACTGGTTGGGTAATGTGGTCAGCTTTACGCTGGTCATTTTTACTTCCCCAGGACTTTCATACTAGTACCCATTTCAAGCTGGGTCGACCTGCGACACCCCATACAACAATAAAAAATCCACGCAGCCTCAAAGGAGATAAAGAGCTAACTATAGCACGACTGAACTATATGCCATAATCATGTCCATGATTCAACATCTGGAACACAGGTGGTCAAGCCTAGCCATGACCGTCAACACGTATCAGCATGGGATATAATGATAACGAGAACTCCCAACGTCCAGGTCGGGGATGAAAGAGTTACTTGAACGGTGACTTGGATTAAAGTGTGGAAGAGTTGCGCAGTGTCGTCGACCTCACTCTCTCGCCTAAGTCATATCTGGGTCCAGTGGCAAGACAGAGTCAGGACGACTGGAGATATGTCTAGGTGCAGTGGATGACCAGGGCGTTCTACGTGTCTCGTCATGCTCTTTGCGCTCCACAGCGCTTTGCTAGTGTCGCCGTCTTGCCCGTTGAACTAAACGTGGTTTCCTTCGCGCATTCTGCTGACAGTAGTCTTTGCAAGCTTGGATAGGCAGATTCTAACTCACCTGGTTTGTCCTGTCTTAGCTGTTGCCCGGGGAGTGGCCGTTGTCGCAAATCGTAGTGGAAATGTAGAAGTCCTTTCACAGACGTGTGTATTGCAGTGGTTGTAACTGTTATCCACAGGACACCGTGTGGTACGATGAGTGGGCAGCGGACGGCAAGCTACTACACATGCAGATTGGTATTATTTCTGAGCTACCCAGAGACAATATTTTGATTGACCTCTACAACTTCACAGAACCCAGTTTCTACAAGTAATGTATTCGCCACTTTCATTAATTTATGATGGGATAATTACACTCCTATTGTTTTTGGCTCTTTAATTTATCGTGGCTTTATTACAGCTTTATTCACGTCACGTCGGCGTCTGTGGATTTGATGTTAGGAACGCGCAATGGAATTCCAAGATGACCTGTTCGATCCTAGATGCGGATGATTTGGCAAGAGGTGTCTTGTGTTGGTTTCGGCTGTGAAATACGAAATGGCAAACTCTGAACACAATATTGCCTCGTGAAATCACAAAGAGAAAAGACAAATCTGAGGTTCGTTCTGCAACTTAATGTAAAAGACAGACAAAAAAAAAAAAAAACTTTTTCCCTTTTTTTTTTTTCTTTATTTCTTTCTCTACATTTTTTCAACTGTGTATGGCCCAGCGCGTCACAGAGAGTAGCCATATGTAGTTTCCTTTCTCTAACTAGTTGCGTAGCTTGTTTTCAATCTCAAAGTACATGTCTATAGTTTTTATTTTACTCCCTCCACCCATCTCTTTCCTTTTCGGCCTCCTATAGCCTGTTCTCATATAGTACGCTCTAGATGCTGGCTGATTTCTTTCCATTCTGACCCTCTACTAACTCTTTCATCAAGACACAGGCAACTGCCTTTTTGTCTCCCACGATTCATTATGTTTCTTTAGGATTTCCGGTTTTGTTTAAAAACACAATTGGGTTTAATTATTAATGAGTTCTGGGTCCTCATTCTAGGGGACACATGAATAGACCCACTGCTGCCAGACGAGCATGTCGTACAAGGAGCCTAATTTAACTTGTTTACTTTGAAGTCGGAGGACATCTCCCTGATAGGCAAAGCACTAACAGTCTGCATACAAAACAGTAAGATCTTTAGAACAGATGTGCACGCACAACTCAAGTTCTTGAAAAAGACTAAAGTCCAGCAGTGGACGAACGACCATAACTTTCCGCCGGATTTAACAGCCCGGGAACGCGACTAGGAAAATAAATTGCCACCTAGACAAGGTTCACCTTTCTTGCGGTCTGACTTCGGAGTTTTGTAAGGATCAAACTGTGATTTATTTTTACTTTTTGTCGTCTTTTTAGGCCAGGAGAATTCAATACTTCTAGCCTGGCTGGTCTCAAGCGCGGAGATCTCAAAAGACACAACTGCTCCGCTGTGTTTCGGAGGTTGAACAAGGATGTCTATGTGGGTTACTGGCCTGACTGTAGAAGTCTAGTCAGAGGGGTAAATGTGCATTTTATTCTCATGAACTATATGCAGCTAACGGGGTCCAGATTGTAAAAGAGAATACATTTAAAGTATATATGTTTATATACCCTACAGTTATACATACACAGGCATACAAACGCATATATATATATATATATATATATATATATATATATATATATATATGTTTATATATATATATATAGCATTATCTCTATAGGATGACTATAACTATTTCTTCTTCTTCTTCTTCTTCTTCTTCTTCTTCTTCTTCTTCTTCTTCTTCTTCTTCTTCTTCTTCTTCTTCTTCTTCTTCTTCTTCTTCTTCTTCTTCTTCTTCTTCTTCTTCTTCTTCTTCTTCTTCTTCTTCTTCTTCTTCTTCTTCTTCTTCTTCTTCTTCTTCTTCTTCTTCTTCTTCTTCTTCTTCTTCTTCTTCTTCTTCTTCTTCTTCTTCTTCTTCTTCTTCTTCTTCTTCTTCTTCTTCTTCTTCTTCTTCTTCTTCTTCTTCTTCTTCTTCTTCTTCTTCTTCTTCTTCTTCTTCTTCTTCTTTTTTGTCTTATTCTTTTTGTTTTTCTTCTTTATTGTTATTACTTTCTTAATCAGTCATCATCGTCATTATCATCGTCTTCGTTTTCTTTTTTCTCTTCAGATTTGTCTTCGTTTATGTTTTTCTTTCCTTTACATGTCTCGTCTCTGATATCCGTCTACGATATCTGATAATCTAATGATGCCAGCTTTACTTATATATTTGATTTGCTGACCAGTTGTTTCGGACATCATGGCCCAGGAATAGAAGCGCCAGTGTTTATGACACTGGAGCAAAGGTCATTTTATGCTAAACCAAAGGCTCTGAAGCCAAGGACATCGCTTACCTTTAGACCCCCCCCCCCCCCCGCTCTGCATTTTTCACCTTGATTTCCTTGAATGTTTGACCTAATGACCAAATGTGAACTGATCTGGTGGCGTCAGTCAATAACAACGGTTATTTTAGCATCACAAGTGAGAATTAGTAACTTTAAACGTCACTGAGTGTTTCATCCATAGTACCCCCAAATGCGAATTAATCTTGTAGCACCAACCAGTGATGACAACTGATCTTTTAGTACTACCAAGTGAGAACTCATCTTGCAGTACCACCGAGCGTTAATTGATTTTGCAGTCTTCTAAAACCAGCCAAAGAGAAGTGATCTTTGGCACCGCCCAATAAGAATAGGTCGTGTAGTTTAAGCCATTGATAATTGGTCTTTTAGCACCACCCAATGACAATGAGTAGCATTGATGTAACTGAAAGTACATTTTTCTATAATATCCAGCAAGAATGAGTTGTTTGATCTGTCTCTGACTGGTTCTTCTTTCAGCACCATCCCAACTACGCTGACACTTTCACTTGCCAAGATGTGAGCATCATCATTCCTCCAACCGTCGAGGAAACATTTGCCCAGCCACCATATATCTTTCAGCGGAAGGACACGAGGTATGCAGTCTATCCTCATGCCATTCTTCCTGCCTGCTTTGTTCAATGTGTGTGTCCGTAGCTTTGGTTTTAAAGGAGAGATTGGTTTAGTTTCTAAATGGTTGCCCCCAAGGCGCATGGCTCTTGTTTTCCGGGGTGATTAAAAAAGCAAAGGCAATTTTCAAATAACATTTCTTCTTCTTTCGTTCGCCTGAAATAAGTTGTGTATATCAGCAGTTTTGTCTTTTGTATAAATTTCGCTGTCGTTATTAGTTCATTCAGTGGTCCGTAGAGTTTAAGTTCCACTGTTGTTCTTTCTGGCCAAAAGGTTTGCCTTAATGTGTCAAATTCGGTGCAGTCCTGGAGTACATGCTCTGCTGTCTAGGGCACATTTCCACAGGTGCACATGGCTGATACACCAATCTTGAATTTTGTCTACATGTGGTTACGTAATCGGTTGTGCCCTGTTCTGAGGCGGAGGATATTGTCTGTCCAAAATAAAATAGTCGTCTTGTGCTGGGGCTGGTGGTTTCCTGATCGATTTAATGATTTTTTTCTTCTGGTGGTATGTGACTGGTAAATCCGGCTGCTCTTTTGTCGCATCTTCCCCTGCCAGTTGACCAGCTTTCTCATTTCTAGGCACTCCAAAATGAGACGGTATCCACTGCATTACAACTCTTCGCTAAAGGCTGAGTGAAATAACATTTCTATTTCCACAGAAGAACTACACACCCACACTCACTCACCCACACACCCACAGATACAGACAAAACACACAAATACACACACTGGGTGCTTGGTGCTTTTTTGAATTTAAATGGGGTAGACTGCCTTGAGGACAATGAGGATACGAGGAGTCAAAGATTTCGACGTCAGATGTGGGAAGGTTAACCCAGGCAACAAATACCTGCAAAATGTCGATAAGTCGGCCGAAAGATGCAAATATCAGAGCTATGCCGTAAACAAGCAAACTGCAATTACACCTTCAGATGAACGCAGAAGAAGTTATAGACATATTCCACATAATCGGGCAATGCATTTTGGTTTTGTGCAATCAGCTTGTGTATCTCGTCTGCGATGGTTTTTGACTGAACTCACGTCTGCCTCACTTGCCTTAACTCGTCACAATGGCGCCCTGCTGCTGATGCTCAGCTGCATGTTGCTTTGGTGTTCACCTCGTATCAACGTTATGGTACCCTAATTCATCATGCACTACTGCATCTACTAATCCGAAACTGTTGTTTAAAAGTTCCTTCACTCATGCTAGTGTGTTTCTCCGAACAACCTTGATCATGTTTTCTATTGTTTGAAGCTGTCTTCCATGTCAGCTCCAGAGAAAACTTAACCAAGGTTTTGAAGAAAGCTTGCTACACAATCTGCCTGATCGGAAGAGCAGTGTTCTCTATTCGAGCTCCTAAAATGTGTATTCACTCATGTCATATACTCATGTTATATATATCTTTATGAAGGACATAGTTGTAGTTGCTGAGGTTATCTAGTCTGAAAGGAATTAGTTTCATTGTCGTGCCAAGACACTCTAGGCTAAGAGAAGATGAACGAGTGGTCTGGCTTGCTGACTAGACAATCACTATAGCTACAGGAAAAGCACGGGACCGGGCAGACATTCGCAGTGCTCTCAAGAAGGCAGGACGAGAAGATGATTCAGGAGACGACGTTGAACCGGCAACACTCAAAGTCTACAAGAAATCAGGTCCAAAGAGGTGTCGCCAAACATGAACATTCTACAGGTAGCAAAAGAAGAATAGTAAATTAACTCAGAACTGGTGTTATCAATCGCCACACGCTGAGGGGTATACTGAAGATGGGATCCAAGCGCTTATGGACTTATCCGATCCTCAGTGAAAATAATCTGTTAATTAACTATGTCTTTTTTTTCCAGCGGTCGGTGTGTTGCCGTTGAGATTATCAGTACTAAATTTTGCATAACATGTAATCACAAATAAGACTTAGGCCAATACCAACACATGTGTTCTATTTCCATCAGGTACCGATTTACGGGTCTTCCAGACACTTACGGTAACTTCTGTGGCACGAAGAACTAACACAACACGACACTTCAATCTTTTCGTGATATCTTCTCTTTATTCATTGCCATGATGACCAATGCACGACGCATCAACTGCTTTAGACCCACCACCATGAAAGTTGTCTGTCGGCAAACGAAGCTAATCAATGTGTCTTTATGATCAGGTCAAACCTTTTAATAGTTATATCCTGTCTTCATAATTCCATGTACGCCACTCGTCCAGTGAGGAAACTCTCATTATTTTTTAAACCTTGTTTAGATATCAGCATTTAAAAAGGTACTCTGCAACAAAAGATGCCAAGCAACAATTAAAACCTGGAAACGTAATAATGCGTTTGGCTTGGTCATCTATCTATCTATCTATCTATCTATCTATCTATCTATCTATCTATCTATCTATCTATCTATCTATCTATCTATCTATCTATCTATCTATCTATCTATCTATCTATCTATCTATCTATCTATCTATCTATCTATCTATCTATCTATCTATCTATCTATCTATCTATCTATCTATCTATCTATCTATCTATCTATCTATCTATCTATCTATCTATCTATCTAATCTATCTAATCTATCTAATCTATCTATCTATCTATCTATCTATCTATCTATCTATCTATCTATCTATCTATCTATCTATCTATCTATCTATCTATCTATCTATCTATCTATCTATCTATCTATCTATCTATCTATCTATCTATCTATCTATCTATCTATCTATCTATCTATCTATCTATCTATCTAATCTATCTAATCTATCTAATCTATCTATCTATCTTATCTATCTATCTATCTATCTATCTATCTATCTATCTATCTATCTATCTATCTATCTATCTATCTATCTATCTATCTATCTATCTATCTATCTATCTATCTATCTATCTATCTATCTATCTATCTATCTATCTATCTATCTATCTATCTATCTATCTATCTATCTATCTATCTATCTATCTAATCTATCTAATCTATCTATCTATCTATCTAATCTATCTATCTATCTATCTATCTATCTATCTATCTATCTATCTATCTATCTATCTATCTATCTATCTATCTATCTATCTATCTATCTATCTATCTATCTATCTATATCTATCTATCTATCTATCTATCTATCTATCTATCTATCTATCTATCTATCTATCTATCTATCTATCTATCTATCTATCTATCTATCTATCTATCTATCTATCTATCTATCTATCTATCTATCTATCTATCTATCTATCTATCTATCTATCTATCTATCTATCTATCTATCTATCTATCTATCTATCTATCTATCTATCTATCTATCTATCTATCTATCTATCTATCTGTCTGTCTGTCTGTCTGTCTGTCTGTCTGTCTGTCTGTCTGTCTGTCTGTCTGTCTGTCTGTCTGTCTGTCTGTCTGTCTGTCTGTCTGTCTGTCTGTCTGAGACAGAGACAGACCTCAGCTATATGGATACAAGACAGGAAAGATACATTGGCTACGAAAGCACACAGGACTGGAGAATAGACTAGAGAAAGACTTCAGGCGTGCACATAAAAGAGCTACGTTGTGTAAAGGACATGCTGATCGATTGATTGATTGATTGAATGACTGATTGTGTTAAGCAAACCAAGTGATTGATGGTGTAAAGCAAACCAAGTGATTGATGGTGTAAAGCAAACCCAGTGATTGATGGTGTAAAGCAAACCAAGTATTGTGACAACTAGCACCTCTCTTTCGGCATGAGACGCACACACACACTCACACGCACACACTCACACACATACACACACACACTCACACTCACATACTCACACACATACACACAATCACTCGCACACTCACACGCACGCACACACACACACACTTACACACACACACTCACACACACACACACACTCACACACATACGCACAATCACTCGCACACTCACACGCACGCACACACACACACTTACACACACATATCTCATACAAAGCATATCTATCTTAGTGACAGTCTTAGTCGAAGATTCAGCCTCACTGCAATCGTGTCACCCGCATATTTGCTCCGTTCCTTTACCATTCAGTGAAAATCAAATGAAATGTTTCTAACTGTATCATTTGAAAAACTGTAGTGAACAAACAATTAGTCCAGGATCAATCCAGAAATATTCGAAGTCAATGAATGTATATGGCACTTTCTAGAGGCGCCAAATCCAACAGTCGCCGCTAGAAATAATGCATTTTCTGGTTGATGGAAGTAGTCGGGCACGACAAGTTGGCTATACACACGTATAACTGTTACATAAGGTATTTCACCAGCCGATACGTAACTCGACCACCCGCCATATTAAATGCTGCTATTCAAACGCTGCATAAATGAAGGACATTCCAGATGAAAAACACAGCTCGCTCCTTTTCTATGCTACCAGAGCCGGACATGGTCACTAACAAAAACAACCATTAAGGAAAATTAATAAGCATGGAAATTAGATCTGTGAGATGGGCTGCAGGAGCGACCAGAAGAAATACAAACAGAAATGATGTTATGGGAGATGAAAGTTGGCCCAGAACCAGTTGTAAGTTACACACAAAGACAGCAAATCAATCGATTAGTCTACTTAGAAAGAGATGAATACAAGGCATACACTACAAGAGAAGAGGGATATAGATCACGATATAGACCAAGAACAACATAGACAGATAGCATCAGACAAACTTTATAACACTTCGATGTGTCTGTGGTCGAGGTGGCCAAAAGAGCAAGAAAAAGAACCTTATGCCTGCCAAAGCGATCAATGAGGAGGTGAAGAAGAGAATGAAAAGAAGACCACACCAACGTGGTTAAAAAACTATGTTTATTATGACTATGAAAGAAAATCAGAACGTGTGCATTTGTTGATCTGTGAGTGAAAGATTAGCCTATGGGAGAAGTGTCTGCGTTATTGTGATAATCCTCATGAAACACTAATTTCATCTACCTCTGTGGGTCGATTGCGGCGTCCGTGGCTAAGGCGTTGCGAGTCCGACTCGTAATCCAGCATACTGCGATTGAAACCCACTGCAGTCTGCGTGGATTTTTATCGTCGTATGCGACGTCGCAGGTCGACCCAGCCTAAAATGGGTACCAGGATGGGCTGTCCTGGGAAAGTAAAGACAGCCGGCCTGTAAAAGTATGGGACGCTCTGCCCATATGCCGAAAGCCGTGAAAAAAGAACTTTATTTTTTTTACTGTGGGTCGATCAGTAGGTAGGATCTAGCAGTTTTTGTAGCATGCTTTCCTTCTATTTCTTTTACAAAGAAATTTCTCCAGCAATCTGTTTTGATTGTCAGATATTGTTTTTTTTTAACTTATCATGTGTACTGTCATGTGTAACAGACGCTTATGTCTGTGCACAGATCTTGGCCCTTGGTGTTCAATATCACCTATTGGAGTTATATCCCCTGCCCCTCAATGGCATCGCTTCAAGCCTTCACGCATCGTTTCTTTGGGCCCTGGCTCTGCCTCCTCTGCAGTTGATCATTCCAATCATCGCCAGGTTGTCCAATGTTTCCCTTCTCATCAAAGGATCGACAAACATTGCCTGACTCTTTCCTTTCTTGTATATGTCATTGTCTAATGTCATTATCAAGTTCCAGACTGTCATTATTGTTCACTCTGACTGGCCAGGAAATCGCAACATGCGTCTCAGAAACCACATCTCTCCAGCGTCCAGGTTGTTCTTAACGATGTCATTTACTTGTCAAGTTATACACCAGCGCTGGTTCCACATAACATTTTAGTACTCTTTGAATAATGTTTAAAGAGAGAGACATGTGGGTAATATATGTTTTTATATTGTTAGATGAGGTAGGCGGAAGTTATTTTAAAAGCTACGCAGAGCTAATCTCACATACGGGACATGGTGAGTTGAGGGAAGATAAAAACAGAAATCACAGCACTTTGGAAATTCCCATAGGCGATCATAGCAGAATTACAATTCCGATGATAACAGAACAGTCTTCCTGCAGAAATACAACACTGTTGTTTTAAAAGGACATAAATATAAATTTAGTATTGTCTGTCCAAAAGCACAGTGAAGATCAAAATCTGTTCTTGAATTTAAAGAAAACGAAAATAATGTCCACAGATAAAACTGACTGTCGCCCAAAAATAACAATAGTTAGTTAGTTAGTCTTTCCTCTTGTGTCTAGTGCAGCACATAGGGCAGAGGTCATGACTCTCCATGCACGGCGGTTCGTTGCAATCTGTTGTAGGTCTTGGATGTTTGAGTGGCCCATGAGCGAGCCTTCCCTGATGATAGTTCTACGTAGGGTTTCCCTTGGTCTTCCACGAGATCTTTTCCCCTGTGGTGTCCAAATGAGGGCTTGGTAAGGAAGTCTTGATTTATCCATTCTAAGGGCGTGGCCGACATAGTTCCAGCGGAGTTTTCGTATAAAACTAGACACATACTCTTGCCTGGATTCTTGCCTTATTTGTGTATTGGTTCGGAAATCTGACCATTTGAAATTTAGTATTCTTCTAAGGCATTTATTTTCAAAACTGTCTAATTTTGTGTCTAGAGTTTTCGTTGATTTCCAGCTCTCGCATCCATAGGTTAGTACTGGAATCACACAAGAATTGAAGATCCTGAGTTTTGTGTGTTTGCTAAGTGTCTTTGATTTCCAGATGTTGGACAGTTTATTGAAGGCACTAGATGCCAGTGCTATTCTAAATGGTATTTCTGGTGCGGTATCTCCTGTAGATGACATCTTGCTCCCTAGATAAGTGAAACTGTTGACTTTTTCAAGGCTGTTGTTGTTCAGCGTGATATCAACTGAACTGTTGGTGAGGTCTAGAATTTTTGATTTTGCGTTGTTAATTTGGAGTTCAATTTGTTCTGAGAAACTCTGGAGTCGATTGATTTTTTCTTGGGCGTCGGTGTGTTCTGAACTCAGGAGTGCTATGTCGTCGGCGAAGTCTAGGTCTTCGAGAATTTTGTCAACTCATGTAATGCCTAAATTTGCGTTATTTATGCACTTGCGCATGACCCAGTCGATTGCTATACCAAAAAGCATCGGCGATAGGACACAGCCTTGCTTCACTCCTGTTTCCACCGGGAACCAGTCAGAATTGCCGGAATCATTTCTTACACAGCATCGTGTTTCATTATAAAATGATTTTATGATGTTTATATATTTGATGGGGAAACGATAGACGTTAGGCAATTTCCAGAGTGTTGGCTGATGGATACTGTCGAAGGCTTTTTGCAAGTCGACAAAGTTGATCAATAATTTCAACTGGAATTCTGTAGAATCTTCAACAATTATTCTAAGAGTAAAGATGTGGTCTATGCATGACCGCTTGGATCTAAAACCGGCTTGTTCTTCCCTTAATCTTTCATCTATGGATATTTTCAATCTTTCTAGTAGCATACTACAAAAAAGTTTCCCTGGTATCGAAAGCAGGGTGATGCCTCTCCAGTTGTTACAATCGGATAAATCACCTTTTTTAGGTAATTTGAAGATTACACCATCTGTCCATTGTTGTGGTGGGTATTCGTTTTGCCAAACTTCATCCATCAGCTGGAGCAAATGTTGCAGGGTGTTTTCATCCGCTGCTTTGAGCATTTCCCCTGAGATGTTGTCCTCTCCGGTAGCTTTGTTTATTCTTAATTTTTTAATAGCTGTTTTAATCTCCTCTATTGTGAATGACTCGCTGGAGGCAACTAGTGTCGGTGTAATAATTTCTTCTTCTAGATTAGGAATGATGTCAGGATTTGGTCTATTTAATATTTCCTTGAAATGTTCTGCCCATCGCTTTGTTTGTTGGTCGTCGGATAGCAGTAGTTTACCCTGCTTGTCTTTAATGGGTGTATTTAGTGTAGGTGAGTGATTGCACAGTTGTTTCATAATATGGAATACGGCTTTGTTGTTTCCAATCTTGGCAGCTGTTTCAGCATCGGAGGCCAGGTCGTGTATGAAGTTCTGTTTGTCTTTCCTTGCATTTGATTTCACTTCTTTGTCTAGCGTGCTGTATTTTTCGTATGAAGATGTGTCTTTTTTTTTGGATAAAAGTGTTAATTTTGCTTGTTTCCTTTCTTGGATTTTTGACCAAGTGTTGTCGCTTAGCCACTTCTTTTTCTGCTTTTGTACATAACCAACTGTGTTTACTGCATCATTCGTCAGTGTGTTCTTGAAAAAGTCCCAATTTTTGTCTATGTTATTTGTAGTATCCGCATTACTAGTTTTGGTTACATAGGTGGTGAGTATCTCTGCATTAAATGCGCTTTGATGACCTTTTGACAAAAGGGCTTGTAAGTTTATTTTCTTATTTCTGGGTGGTTTAAGTAGAGACCTGAGTTTAATTTTTAGTTTGGCAATACAAAGATTATGATCACTGCCAATATCAGCTCTCCTATACTAAATAGATGACTAGTATTTGAGGATTTTCCCGGAACCGTTGAGCACCAAGTATTGGAAAGTGCAGATTTGTGATCTGTTGCCTTTAGACCTTCATCTGGTTCTACGGTTACACGCTTCAGGTAACTCGTTCCTTCAAATTTTTGGCTTCATCGTCCTTAACATATAGTGTTGACTTCTTTTGTAAATAATGTTTAACATGGTTTATAATAAAAGTTTACGACAATATGATGTTCAAGACTAGTTCAAAGAATAATTTCATGGTATCGTATGAAAACCTTAAACTGATCGTATAAAATTAGACGGCCAATACTTACAAAGACATTTTTAGAAGGTTTCAACTTCAAAACTTGATGAGAACTGACAAGGCTGTTGGGAAAGCGCACATGGAAGACAATACGATAAGTTCCTGGATGGCTTTGCTGCATGGAAGAGGCACTGACATAATCCCTTATTCTACTGATCGTTATTATGTCTCCTGTCCACAACTTCTAAGGCGGAACAAACGTGCTTTTCCAGGCATTATTATAAAATCAGGCTCTCCTTTGAATCAACCCACAAAATGGCAGCTTTAATATGATGGCGTTCGAAAAAGCGCTAAATTGGCCAATTTCTTGCCATAAAATATCCAAAAATATCCAAATGGTGCTCAGTTCTATTAAAAATATGCCGAGGTTGCGTATAACGAAACAAATGCTCTAACAGGGTCTCAGCGATATGTTACTTGCGGACCTGCTTCTGCGAGTGTGCCTCACTGCCGACCGTATCGCCGAGAAGTATCCCCCGCGAAGCTACACGCGGCGCGGATGGGGAGCTAAACTAGGTGTATGGGACTCACGAGTAAAGTAATTGGAGGAAGTTGCAGGAGATGCGGTAACTGCCGCTCGTGAGTCCCAGCTTTAATCGCCTTTGGCGCATGCCGACAAGTCTGACATCTACCGCTGCTAAATCCTCCAATCGGAAGAACACAGTATTGCTAAACGGCTTTCATCGTCTGTAATGTCTCGAAATTGTCAGCGGTCGCTAATATCGTCTGCTAGTATCGTCTGCAGAAACGCTCGAAATTGTCAACGGTTGGTATTTATCGTCTGCTACTACCGTGTGCGATGTTGAAATTGATTGTCAAGTAATCCTAGTTTTGCCGCGATTTATTCCTTGGCAGAAAGTCCGTATTTTAGATATACGCGAACACCGTCGTTTGGATATTTTTGGATATTTAATAGCCAGAATGTGGCATGCCGCCATTTTGGGGGTTGATTTAAAGGCGAGCCCAACATCACTTAATTGGGTTAGTGTCAATGATTCGATGATATAATCAAACCTAGCTCCTACAAGACTAACCATATTACCTCTGCTTTATGAAGACACAAATAATATATTTTAACTGCCTGATAGTTTGGCTGATTATCTCTTAAACGCATTGCTACAGAGTTACAATAACAATAAAGTCGAAGAAATGCAACCTGTTTGCCAGGCAATGAATAAGGAAATATAATGTTTGTGTCCTCATAATTTAAACTATTAAAGGGAACAAAACCGGTGTTCTGAATTGAAAATACTATAGTATGGTCAGATATTCCCCCCCCCCCCCCCCCCCACCAATGCTAGCAAAGTTGCCGCTTTTTTGCACATAATTTAAGGTAGTAACAAAATGGCACAACGTTAACGAATAATAACAATTATTTACTGACTAATCCAGTGTTTCCTAAACTTGTCTTAGTCGCGGCCCCTTGTTTCCATAAAAACTTTTCCACGGCGCCCTAACCTAAGTAAAAGTTTGACTATTCGTATGTAAAAGATTAAAACAAATAAAACTCGTGAATCTTCTAATTTTTCGTGACGCCCTTGTGAAGAGGTCGCATGGTTTGGGAATCACTGTTCTAATCGCATGATTTTAACTAGATCTACCCCTTACACTGTGCCATCTCAAAATTTCAGGGAAACCATGTCTGTAACCCGGGTGTCAAAGACAGGCAGTATCCGGGAGATAGACCTCAAGAGTTGTGGTAAGACACAGCCTATTCCACCACTCACAGTCATCGACAGGCAAGAATTTCATAATCTTTACCTTAAAGTCTTAATGCTGTTGTTGCATAATTCTGTTAGACCCGTAGTTCCCTACCTTGAAAAGGGGAGGGAGGCGTGAGGAAGTTCGACGGGGTAAACAAAACAAAAAAAGGGTGAGTGGGAGCACGTCAAGAAATTTTTGAAAATGAGTGGATTTGTGTATGTAATAATCCTTTCCATCAACATGTATTTACACCAAATTGTAAATAATATACTTAAAAAGTATAAATTAGAGGCACTGGACAAACTGTATGGTTTTCGCTGACATAGGATAGGGTATTTGTGAAATAAACATGACATTGGAACTTTGAATAACTAAATAAATATTAGACCATGCCCAACCAACCACTGAATGGGAAGAAACATGTTTTTGCAGTCCATAATTAGGCATACATTAGGTTAGTACTGAGCCAAGTAACGATGCATGGTAACTTATTGTGCTAAGTTACAGGTTGTAGCCCAGTGTCGTGGTTTTGTCGTCTCATTGATACCAGGTTTTAGTCCAGTGTCGTGGTTTTGTCGTCTCACTGATACCAGGTTTTAGTCCAGTGTCGTGGTTTTGTCGTCTCACTGATACCAGGTTTTAGTCCAGTGTCGTGGTTTTGTCGTCTCACTGATACCAGGTTTTAGTCCAGTGTCGTGGTTTTGTCGTCTCACTGATACCAGGTTTTAGTCCAGTGTCGTGGTTTTGTCGTCTCACTGATACCAGGTTTTAGTCCAGTGTCGTGGTTTTGTCGTCTCACTGATACCAGGTTTTAGTCCAGTGTCGTGGTTTTGTCGTCTCACTGATACCAGGTTTTAGTCCAGTGTCGTGGTTTTTGTCGTCTCACTGATACCAGGTTTTAGTCCAGTGTCGTGGTTTTGTCGTCTCACTGATACCAGGTTTTAGTCCAGTGTCGTGGTTTTGTCGTCTCACTGATACCAGGTTTTAGTCCAGTGTCGTGGTTTTGTCGTCTCACTGATACCAGGTTTTAGTCCAGTGTCGTGGTTTTGTCGTCTCATTGATACCAGGTTTTAGTCCAGTGTCGTGGTTTTGTAGTCTCACTGAAAGCAGGTTGTAGCCCACTGTGGTGGTTTTCTGTATTGTCTTGCGTTTCTCGGGTGGTTAGGGTGAAGGATTTATTCATATTTTTGCATGTTTCAGTTACACCATTTATCCAACTCTTTCTTGGTCTTCCCCTTGCCTTTCTCCCAGATGTTCTGTCGTAAAAAAAAAAAAAAAGACTCATGTGCCGTTTTGTCTGGCTGCATTCTCACTAGATGGCCAAACCATTTCATTCTTCCTCTGTAAATATAGTTTAGGTTTGGTCTTATTTCGATTTTCTCTGTAATGCTGGTATTAAAACCCTGTCGCTTCTTGTGTTGTTAGTGACTTTGCAGAGCCAGCGCATTTCCCTTGTAATTAAATTGTATTCTTTAATTTTTTGGTTTTATCACATCAGGTTGGGCAGAGAAAATACTGGCAGTACGGATGAGAGACTCGATGTGAAGAAGAAAGACAGGTGTAGTTAATGAATAAATAAATGCCAGGATCATCATCACTTACCAAAGATCAGTAGGCTTACATAGGGGATCACGTGGGTATATACTGTCCGGGAAATGCACAAGATTTTCTAGCTACAAAAGTGATAGCTGCGGGAACACTCGTGTTGAGCAAGGAAGACATAGATTATGAACGAATGTAGATAGAGGACAGTAGGTTAAATAAGGTACATTGTGTAAGATGTGAACAAAAAATAGGCGTTGGTCCAACAAGGATGGTCGCATCAGAGGGAGAGAACGACGTGTGCCACTGGAACAGTTACCATCTACACATTAAGTCATTTTGTTTTCTTTAGGAAACGGAGCATCTATTGGTATGTTCTGTGTGCTATGACGTCACTTCATAATTCAGTTATCAGTAAATGAATAGATTAACAACTCTCATCACTGCATTTTAGACAGTGTCATATGTGCTATGTCCCCATTCTCGGCAGCTAGCGAAGAGGTTACATACTTATGTTAAGTATAATAAAAATTCAGCCTGTTGTCCTCTTGTAGTAAAATAATTCTTCCATGTGACTGTCATTTCAGAAACAGAACGGGTCCGGAGCAGCTGACTTCCGAGATGTGGGCGACCAAGATAAAGGATATCACCTCTCGCTTGTCCAGACCCACCATCTCCTCCAGCCTGAAGACTATCCAAGGACGACCTGAACTGCCGTCTGAGAGGGACTCCCAGTTCTGGAACACGGTGCGCACAAGTTCAAGTTACTAGACAAGAAACAGACAGGGAAGCACTGAGGCCGTAGAAACTGTGAATTTAATCAACAAAAAAGACGGCTAGAGGGGAAAAGATAGATAATAGGGCCTGTACAATAATATCGCGACTGGTCTAAGCGGCCCAATTTTACCATGTTCAGAAATTCTCATTGCAATAATTTGTGAATATACTCTAAATTATTTCAAATACAGTAGAACCTCCAAAGTTGATAACCTCCTAAATGTTTAGCACCTCAATAAGCCTACCACAATTTCTTTGATCAGTTGGTCTTTGTAAGCTGTATGTGTGGGTGTGTGTACTTTATCGCAGTTAAAAAAAAGCGCAGCAGCCTTCGTGGCAAGACTGCATGCAGCTTTTAATATACGCTGCACACAGTCGTGTGACCCAGGCTGCATGCAATCATAGGACGTAGGCTGAGGCTATTGAGTATGGGGGAGTTGGGATTAGGGCCAGATCTACATGTTTTGCGACCGTTAAAAACGCTCACATCGTGGAATAAAGAACCCACGATATTGCTGGCCGTGTGAAAACAACGAGTAAAATACTACCTGTTGCAGGCCGGTCACTAAGCGTGACACCCTGCAACATAGAACAGGCCTTGCGACACGACGAAGCATGAATGGGAAGATAAGTCACTCTCTTTCTGGGCGAGAAAACGTTACTATAACCTCGGAGAGAGATATTCGGAAGAGAGGAAACTGGTCGCGAAAAAGAATTAAAAACTCTCTTTGATGAATCTATATCAAGCTAGTTAGAGTAAATTGTTAAATAAATGTGATTGTTAAACGCCCGAATCTCCGGTTATTCAAGCAGCTGGTAAAACAGTTCGGCCATAATTTGTGCGTGGCAGGAGTTTAACTCTTTGAGTCCCAGGTGGTTTAGCATCACAGCCCCAGGGGTAGTTAAGAAAATAATAAAATTGGCGCATCGTGCGTTTACTGGGCTTCTAGGTAGGAACCTATGAACGTATGATGCGTTCCTTGCGACTCAAAGAGTTAACACAAGCGACACAATTAGCAAAGGAGAGAAAACCACATTCTAAACCCTCTCTATGACATTACACGAAATAATCAGTAGAACAAAAGAACAAAGAAGATTTCCAAGCATCAAGTGGTTGGCTCGAGATTTTGTAACTTCCATGTGGAAGTTCTAGTATAATTTGTGGAAAGAATTCCACCTAACTCCACCTACTTCCACATGCTTTAAAAACATTTACATTTTTTATAATGATGAGAGTTTTAAATTTTCAAGACGATGTCTCACCGGAGCCTCACAACAGAGGGTTATGCATGTAATGGCGCTACACTTTTAAAAGATGTGTTCAATTATACTTTGCGTCAATATTTTGCGGCCTCGGAGATGTGGTTTTACACGAGAATCTTCACAATTCCTTCGTCAGCTACGGAGAGCCAACCAGATGTTTTGAAAGAAGCGAATTCTCAAAGACAGCTTATCACAAACAACAGAAAGAGACAGTTATCAAATTTTGGTCCTTTTACGAGAAGAGGGAAACTATGGTCAGCTCTGGAAATATCTGAGGAAAGAGAGACAGAGAAAGACAGTGGGAGAAGATTTTTGACAGCCTTGTATCGTGGCATGAAGGTGTGTCAACACACGAACTGATACACGCAGTTGTGAATCGCAGATTGCAGGCAGGCATGATCGCCTACGCTAGTCGGCAAGGCACTCGTTGATACTTTGCGTCATGTACTTTGAAAATGTAAGTATATTTATGTGTAATTTAACAACGAAATAATAACTATTATTATTGAGCACTTAAATATAGACTAAATCTCTTAAGTGCCCAAAAGTAAAATATTGATGGTTTGAGAAGCTTGATTTATGAGGTGTTCTATTCCCTTGCACAGATGGCCTACTGTAGTAGTCAGTACCAGAAAAAATTCACCGGACAGCATCGAGCTGTTCCTACAGTTGCCGTACAATCTCGCGGAGGCTTGGCTCCTGTGAGGAGGTATGTATATGTTTTCATATAGTCTTATCAACACGAAATAATGTTAAAAAACAATAAAAAACACTTTTCCAGGCTTTCGGGTGTATTAGGCATATAGGGCTAGAACTATATCTTATACATCTTTCTGCGCTTGGTGGGTGATGTTGTCTGCGTCATGCCGGCCGTCTTTACTTCCCGGGACTGAACCTGGTACCCACTCAAGGCTGGGTCGACCTGGGAGTCAAGGTCCTTTTTGAAAAAAGTTAGGACCCGAACCCACGACCTTCTGATAAGCAGGCGAGCGTCTATCTGCTGCACCAGGGCGACTCCATGAAAACACGAGTTTAACAAATCATCTCTAGAAATCCATCAATATATATATATATATATATATATATATATATATATATATATATATATATATATATATATATATATATATATATATATATATATATATATATATTACTTTACTGCACTTTGTAGCACAGCTCTCTTCTTCGGTGCATATGTCGTTGTCACACCCAGGTTCGTCTTTAGGTTTGCTACAGGAGGAGTCGATTGGAAGATTATAGACGAGGAGAAAGATGGTCGTGTCGACAGTGGCGATGATGATGATGTCCTGCTTGCTACATGCTTGCATACAAAATGTTTGGAAACAACTGTTCTCGTCTGTAGTGTCTTTATTATGATACATCAGCAATGTCACAAAATAACAGCAATGACATTTTAAATAGTGCTGTCTGGTGCTAACGGATTGATCGTCGACTCTAACATCTCTATAGTTCCTACCTAATATGTCTCTGTTAACCATGGATCCATGTATCTTGTGTGTCGTCTCTGTAGCTCGATGTCTCGTTTCATGTCTGCTCTCCAGTGACTGTCTTTAAGGTTCCAAATGAACGGCTGCTCTGCTTCCAGTGTTGAGCTGGCATCAAGGATCATTGAGACTAGACGCTCGTCCTCTGAGTCTCAACGACTGAAGGCTTCTAGTATTGGGCTTACATCTCTACTACTGAAGGCTGCATTGAGAGCCCATGTGACTGGTCTCTCCTCTCTCTCGAGTCTTGTGGACTGAAGAATCTTTTTAAAGTGCTTTGTTGCTCGCTATTTATACTTGGATGCTGGAATGCTAGGTATTTGTTTTCGTTTCGCTTTGTCCGCTTCTAGAATATTCTAGTACGTCTAAACTTGTTTACTATGTACGTTCTCACATGGGATTTGCTAATTATATCTCGATTGCATCAGATTTCATCATCCTATTCTACGCAGATATAGTAGTTAAACTGACAATTGAGGTCATAGAAGCTTCTAGAAAAACAAGGACAATTGTGTTTGCTTTGATAGGCACGTCAACAAGGTATTCACTAGTACGACAAGGTTGGGTCACATGATGAAAAGAATGCATTTCAAAACTTTTAGAAAGAAGGCCAAGGCCAGACAACATCAGTTTGATGTCAATAGCTTGTTTTGGCGAGAAAAGAAGATTCTGGAAAAGGGAATGTCAAGGCTGCCAAAACTTGTTGATTTTCAGTTCACCATAACTCTGCGTAATAACCCACTTCCTACAAACAAGTAATGGCTTAACTGTGTTACAACCCTTCCCTCCTAAAAAAATGTTCACTCATATGTGAACATTTATGTTACTATGTCTACTCTCAGATGCCATTTTACAATTATTATAAGCCATGTACAATTATACATCAACATAATTCAATTATACACCAACATCTCATATCATAAATGCAAATATCAAAGGTTGCGATCCTCAGCAACCCATCTCTAAAGTTACAATCATTGTTGCAGAAAAATTAATCATTATCATTAACATAAACTTTAACATCATAGGTCTTCTAATTATTTATCTAATACACCCATTACTCTGTTCTTCATAAGTGTCATTTCAAACCCTGCAACACAATCTCATATATAGTTGAATACTCTTGTTCAATACAATGCATCAAATACATGTACACAATACATCAAAAACCTCTCTTCTTATGCGACTACTAATGAATACACAGTATGTCATCTCCCATCTCTGAGTACCATTCTATCATGCATCATCACAAAGTGTGTGTGCAAATACAATTTAAAAAAAAATGTTTTTTAGTATTTAAAACTATTCATTTACATCTCATAAAACAGATTCCACATTTAAGATACATTTCTGTCTATTTAGTTTCGATGCCCATGACTGTAACATAAAATTCTTTTACAGCCACCTGCACAATGGTTCAACATATTTTTGTAACCGTATGCTTATATTTCCTCTAGTACCAGGCATGAACTGTTTTCATTACCAACTTTGTACAAAGCCATCCTACCTTTCACAATCTCAAAACAGTTGTCCCTACTGCCGCTGTAATCATCACTTTATTGTTGACTGTGGCTAGTCGGTGCCAGTCTCTAGCGGTCCCAAATCTCGCATGTCAAAACAATACATTGTGTCGCTGTTTTGTTTACTTTAGCACGAGGGAACAACGTCGAAGTTTCCGCCAGTAATTTCATGTCACATGCCTAGGGGGTGCTGTGACTGCTGAATGGCATAGTTGTCTTGGGTTTGAATCCTCACTTGTTTAAAAGGTGTCTGGACATTTGCTACATGTTTTTTTTTTTATACATCTCTTTAGATCTTACACAGTTACATAATGCATAGTAAACTTCGTAACATTTGCAATAATTAGCATTAATCATAAAAATTATAATGACACAGTACATGAATGTCTCTCCATACCTCATCATCTCTTATCTCTTTGTCTCTATATGTTGACCAATATAACACCATGATTTGGATGGGCTGAGTTCAAATATACTCATTGCATCATTGAAACTAAAAGTAATCTCTGGTCTCTCTCGTGCACTTTTTTATCTTTTTATTTGAGGATGTACAGGGGAAATGCTTTGGAAAGGTACAGTTGATCTAAGTATGTCTCATACTGCATCAAGCGTCTACTGGTCCCAGTTCTAGTGGGCCTTACATCTAAACGCTTCACAAAATTATTACAAAATATCACTACCAGTGTCTGCCTGCATTCTTCTCTGCCATTAACAAAACAACCGATGTTGGAGATCTTGTTTATCTGTCCTCCACGCTGGCTCGGTGTTGCTGTGTCCATGACCTAAGGTCAGCAAATTGACAAAGCAACGAGGATTCTAACTTTTCACACCTCTTACATCGTAGGTATATAAACACATAGACAGTTTTACATTGTTTCTCATCAATGGTTCTAAAGTTTTGCGTTGTAAAAAGTAAACTTTCTCTTATACAAGGGTGGGGCTTCCTGTCAAAACAATAAAATGACCACTCGGGGATGTCCTGAACATCGTTTTTGGAATGTGTGTGTGTGTGTGTGGATGGATGTCAGCAAGCCTGTTCCCATTTATTCTATTACCTCCCCTGCTCTGGCGTCAGTTGCTTCTCATTGCTTGAGGATACGAGTGGCGTTGGTTTGGGCTCAAATCCTTTCACAAATTGGATATGTGTGTATGCGTCTGTGTGGTGTTCATATTTCGCTTGTATGGAATGGTGTTATTTCTTGATGTTAAGGTAGGAAGTGTGCTTTATTCACAGTGTACATAATCTGTGTGCTTTATTCATTTGTCATTCACTCAACCTGTCAACTGTTACTGCGTCATGTAATCTGTTAACTCTTTTACTACAACATGACTAACACAAGTTACATATGCCAATCGAAACATCTATCTGCATTATCTCAATGAACAGTACAAGTATATCATGAAATCAACTCTTTACAACATTTTAGGATTTTAGCAAAATGAATTTTGCGTACTGACGCGGTTTCTCTGATGTCCATAACTTAGACTACTGATGTGATTGTACTGCTAAACGCAGCTGCCAAAATCACGCCATTAATATAGATTTTGCCAAGTGCCAATTGCACACCTTGGCAACTCTCTTCAACTCTCCTTACATCAGACCTCGAATATAACCGTGTCAACCTCCTCATCGTGGACGCACCTCTCTGCTTCCACTTTATTTTGATTAAACTCAAGGACAAACATCAAAAATAGCATATAATATCAAGCAAATGTAAGAATATAAAGTAGATATATGCATATTTATTTACAAAATATAGTTATATCTCACCAGGACGGTCACTCTACCGTCTGTATCTACCTCATCAGAACGGTCACTCTACCGCCTGTATCTCAAATAATAAAATCTTTGACCTAACGGCTCTAGGCCGGCAATTTTCGCCGTAACTCGCCTCTCTGCCGTCATTAGGTCCCCTTTAATCTTAATCCTCAGTGTCACTTCAGCTTAATCAGCTCTACTTAGTGACATCAAGTTCATTACACCACTTATATTTATTCTTCTTCTTAATCATCATCACAAACATCATATTAATTTCATGAATGCGATATATATACAAAGCGAATTGAAAGAAAAGCAAAAATCTTAAAATAAAATACACATTATTTCATTGTCGTCTCTTCACATCTGTCACCTCACTACTTGTGACAGTCCCTTAGTATAGTCATCAATGTTTAGACAAATCATAACATAAATGTGCATATATTTACAAAGGAAATCAAACATCGAAAAGTGAAAATCTTACTGAACAACATAGAATTATTCACTTCTGCCCATCACACTACTTTTTTTTTTTTTAACTTATATTCTTTTGTCGTCGCGACAACTGTCACAAGTCTAAGCCACTATCATTATACATTTGATGTATTTGTTATGCATACATGTAGAAACCGTTAGTAAAGTACTATTTCCACGCCTTTGGGCGTATTGGGCACATTGGGCTGGACATGTATAATATAATATATAATTATTATTATACTTTCTTTTAAAATGACTAATAGCCTAAACTGCAAAGTTAAAGCGTGATCCAGCAAGAAATATTTCTTCATAGTTTACGCTGAGGGGGAAAATGAATAAAACAGTGTCAGCGCTGCGTTTGTTACAGTGCTCCCTTAATTATGTGCAGCTTCTTATCTCGGACATGTGCGCATGCGTACAATAGACAAACATCGCATTGTCTAAGCTGTAAAACGTTTTGAAAATTTTTAAGAGTACTTGACGTTTACTTACACTAAAAATAAAAGTTACATATTGTGCAAGTATAAATAAAGGATAAAATAAACAAAAACAAACTCATTATATTGAGTGCTTTTTAGGCTATAGAATTATTGGGCGCTGTAGTTCCACTGTGTCGATATACGAGCTGTAAGCGAGTAGTAGAAAGTAAAAGTTAAAAGAACTAAAGACTTGTTTTCCCCCTCCTCAGATACCAACCGCAGATAGGACCTGTCAATGCAAAGAACACATCCGGGAACTCTCTGCCAATGCTGTCCAATCAAAGAGCGCCAAGCTGCCGGAACTAGCCATCTGATGCGCACGCAAACAACGAACACGTGCGTTTAGACGCTTCTAGTTGGTTTTCATGAGGACAAAGAGACATTACTCCTAGAAAACCAACAGTAGAGACATCTCTTTGACTGTTTGTGTTTTTTTATTTTTTTATTTTATGAATTGTCGTGAAGGGGCATAATGATAACTGTCTATCACCGAATAGCAAGAACGAATCTTTAATTCCCCACATCTTTCAGTATTCATGTATTCTGTAGTTGCAATGTTTCAGTAGTACCAGTTTTACAAAAGCGCCAATTATATTTTAGGAGTGCGGCATAATTAATTCATCATTATGTACTCAGACTATCAAGTCTTCCCATCTAACACGATCACCAGAGTTTAGAATGCCATCTGTGTTTTCCACAAGACCAAAAGGAGCTCAATCGCTATAGCACCAACGAGAATCCAAGACTAAATTAGCACATACGTATACAACTGATAGTAATGAGGTATTTAAGGATGGCTACTGCAGCAGAGAGCTGAACACCTATGGGAATACCCAGTGTGCCATGTAGTCAATGTTTATAATACAACATAACATATATCATGAAGTCAATGTTGATAATACAACATAACATATATCACGAAGTCAATGTTTATAATACAACATAACAAATATCATGAAGTCACTGTTGATAACACAACATAAGATATATCATGAAGTCATTGTTTATAATACAACATAACATATATCATGAAGTCACTGTTGATAACACAACATAAGATATATCATGAAGTCATTGTTTATAATACAACATAACATATATCATGAAGTCAATGTTGATAACACAACATAACATATATCATGAAGTCAATGTTTATAATACAACATAACATATATCATGAAGTCAATGTTTATAATACAACATAAGATATATCATGAAGTCATTGTTTATAATACAACATAACATATATCATGAAGTCATTGTTTATAATACAACATAACATATATCATGAAGTCAATGTTTATAATACAACATAAGATATATCATGAAGTCAATGTTTATAATACAACATAACATATATCATGAAGTCAATGTTTATAATACAACATAAGATATATCAGGAAGTCAATGTTTATAATACAACATAACATATATCATGAAGTCAATGTTTATAATACAACATAACATATATCATGAAGTCAATGTTGATAACACAACATAACATATATCATGAAGTCACTGTTGATAACACAACATAACATATATCATGAAGTCACTGTTGATAACACAACATAACCTATCATAAGACGCAGAGACATTTTTCAAGAGTCGCAAAGACCGAATTGATATACTCGGAATTTGCATAATGATACCAAAGACAAAACTCAAAAAAAAGGAGGGTTTGCCCCATTAAATAAGCCTTTTGCTGTTTTTCTTTTCTTTTAGAATTAAAGTTGATAGCAACATTGTCTGATATTGATAGTGTAACCCAGGTTGCAAACATATATTTTAGACCTAAATCTGCTGTCTGAATCAATTTAGACCATTTAACCCGATGTAGCTATTGTTGAATTTTAGAGCCTGTCTTGCCAACAAAGTCTCCCTCAAACTGACCCTGTTGCTATATAAGTTATCGCCCCAATGTCGTTATCTTATATCTTATTTGCTTACAAAGCACCCTCAGTAAGCTCTATTACTACAACATGTTCTCATCATTCTCTATTTTCAAAACTAAATTTACGAACCAAATTCCCCGTGGGACTGACTGTCCAAATGCATGGTGCGTCAATGGTTTTCTAACGTATGAACGTAGATGGAGATGAATATAGAATAATGGTTTTCTAACGTATGAACGTAGAGGGGATGAATATAGAATAACTGCATATTTAGCATCCATACAGGACAAAGAGTGTGAAAACGAAAGATATTTTTTATTGCGTATGTTTTACTATTTGTTTACCAAGAAAAGAAATTAAACAGATAAAAGATTTCTTGTGTTTGAATATGTGTTAACGTTCTGCTCTATGGTAACGTTGAGGGAAATTTTAAACTAAAATTTTGTTTTCCAGACGAATCGCCACACGATGTAGTCAACATAGCTTCGGCCAAATTTACTTCACCTGACTTTATCCTAGTATCCATTTCAGACTGGGTAGATCTAGAAGCCAAGTTCTTTTATTTGAAAAAAACCGTCTGGATACGACTTCTGATGCTTCTGGGCGCTTTTCTTCTTCTTCTTCTTTTATCTACCAATAGACTGCCTTGCGGCGCCAAGGAAGGAAGAGATTGCTAGAACGGGCCCTTCTGTTCGCTTCGTATAAAGTACTTTTCACGGTCTCTGATATTTCTGCAGTCCATTTTCTGCTTGGTCGACCTCTGGATTTGAGACCGCTGTATTTGCATAACATTGCTCTCTGGTCTTCACTGTCTGCTGCCAATCTTGTTGCATGGCTAAGTCATTTGATTTGTTGTCTACCTTTAAAGTTCAGTATTGGTTTTGAGCGCTAACCGGCTGAAAATTCTTTCT